GCGAGTGCTCATATTCCTCAGAGTTCTCAGACATATCACATACACACAGGACAACACTACATTATATCTCTGACAAAAAGTCATAGATTCACATTTAAGGTAAAGCTGCAATCTAGTGTGTCGCATGGAATCTAGTGTGTGTGTTTATGGGATCTATTTTCTTGTATTTAATGTCCTTAATTATATTTACTGCATTTTCATCTTATATTTATCTGTATTTATTGTATTTTATTTATATGTAATTATACATTTGTGTTACGTCTTTCCAAGTCTCAAATAATTTCCCTACACCGCCATTCCTCAGCTGTATACAGAATAACAACAAAACTATTTAGCTTATTTTAAAAAATGTTGAATAAAAATGTAAAACCAACTTACCTTTACGTTTATTGTACTTTTCAATCCTGAAGACATTATTGTATTGTTTTGCACTTTATTAAAATCTGTTTGAAAAGGTACTTTGGATTAAGTGATCTCTGTTATTCGTTTTCTTTGAGGTTATGTTTCTCTTCAGAGCTATATTTTCATTAATAAGAGAAATAGTTTGGCAGCTCTGTTCAGTTACTTGCAAAATAGTCTTTAAAAAAACAACTGACCAGTTTCATATGTTGTACCTGTTTTTGTTGTTTTGTTGTTGTTGTTTTTACTGCATTTAATATCCCTATCACGTAAGTCCCTTTGTAAGTCTACAGTTACTTACTGTCTCGGGAGGGAAAGAGTCCAGCAATGCTGACCACATATTATTTCATGTCTCATCTTTTTTTCCCCACAACGCGAGGTGTGTGTGTGTGTGTGTGTGAATCATCCTCTAGCATTCATCACCATCAGTTTCTGACTACAGCCTGCTGTTGGCTGGATATATTTGGTTGGTGGATTGTTTCTGGACCTAGCACTGACACTGTGGTGTCTAAAAAAAAAAATCTCACTAACACTGCTGCACCTGATACACTCATACCAGCACCACACACACACACACACACACACACACACACACACACACACACACACACACACTACCATATCAGTGTCACTGCCGTGCTGAGAAAGATGCAGCACCCATATAATGCCTGGTTAGAGATCAGGGCCATGAAAATGAAAGGAAAATGTAACATAACATAACGACTGGCTTGTGTGTTTTTAAAAGTTTGATTAATACCAAGATTGCTGTTTTGTCCTTTGTGCAGTAACTAGTGTGTGAGAGATTTGGCCTCGTTTGGTCGTTGTTTTGGTTAACGTTAACGTCTTTTTTCATGTTAAAAGAAGAAATCTGTACTGAAATTCTGATGTTTTTAGTTTAAACTTCTTTCACTGTCATACGTCAGTTAACAGTTCCCTACGTTACCCACAATGACGGTCAACTATGTAATGATGCCAGTATCATTAGCCCTCGCGTCATCTCTACCTAAAGAGAGTGATGCAGCAGTGCTTTAGTCCTTCAGTCTGTCCAGCTCTCTCACCTCCTCATCTGTACACTCTCCTTAAACAAATCAGTTTCCAAAGCTTCAACCTTCATGCTAATACCGCTCATTCTCGTCATCTCATAGATAACTAACTAGCCAAGTGTCTGCTGCAAATCTGTGCAACTGCGTCGTATCGCTGCTTTGCATTCTGGGCCTTCGATTTCAGCATTTGCACCAATGTCTTGACCAAGAGGGGAACTTTCCTTTTGAACGACTCTCTAATTCGTAATTCTTACTCGGAAAATTGGCATTTTTCAAGAGCTCCGACTTCTCCGAGTAGCAATTCTGTGACGTCACTTCAACATGGCAGCGTGATTTAAAGCTTTTAAGCCATCTTTTAAGTTTCTGTTTATATTTGAAATCACTAAATACTGGGCGATACTTTGATCACTGAAATGTTAATTCAGCTTCTGCAAGATTTTTGATCAAACTGCTCCTTCATGTCATTTTCTAAAAAAAAAAATCCAATTAGAAAATAAATTAAGCACTAATCAAACAACTCTTTAATTCCATTTTTTTTTTTTTTGTAGAAAGCATACAGTGAGTATTGAGCTTGAACGCTCAAATGTGGGAATGTGCTGCTTGCACTCAGGGCTAGGACGTATTTCAGTTTTGAAATAGTGCAAATCTCACGTCTCGGGTGGCACTGTTTATATCCGGCAGTGCAGCGACACAACAACGTCTAATGTTTTTTATTTTTTGTCTTACAATAAAGTCATTAGCTGCGTCTCAAGTCACCTACTTATACTATGCCCTAAAGGTATGTACTCTTTTTGTGAAGAAAAAGTACATACTTTTGAGTGTGGAGCAAAAGAGTGCGCAAGTACTGGGACCTACAAACACATCGTTTAACGGAAGAGAACGTTGTTGCCTAGTAACGCACACCGTCACCGTAAACAAACTCCTCGCTGCATTTCAGCTTTTTCTTCATTCATTATTCCTTATATCATTTATACAATATAATTTAATTTACCATTCCCTTGATTGATTTCTCCACATTTCATTTACACCTCTCTAAAATGTGTCTTAAGCAAACCGTCACAAAATTCCTCCTCCTCCCTCACGCAAGGAGTTGTGGGCAATATTAGCTGAAAAAGTGTCCCTGGATCCACACTTCGAAAATCTACCAGAAACAGAAGACCATCCGGATACCTTTGGGTTACTGTACTGTACTGTGATGGCTTGGGACTGCGATTGATGTAGTGGCTTTGGGGCTGCAGTTGCCATGAGCACCTTCGTACTCAGGACTCCATCAGTGGACAGTGGATAGATTTTAACCAACCGGACTTCTCGCGAATACTGTGATGAATTTACTGGTTGCACATTTGCACTATTTGTCCATGTAGTACACAATAATAGAAGGGATTTATTTATAATCGCACTATCCGTTGCACCCAGATGAGGATGGATTCCCTTTTGAGTCTGGTTCCTCTCAAGGTTTCTTCCTCATATTGTCTCAGGGAGTTTTTCCTCACCACCGTCACCTCTGGCTTGCTCATTAGGGATAAATTCACATATTTACAATATATTTTTTAAATCCATTTATTTCTGTAAAGCTGCTTTGTGACAATGTCCATTGTTAAAGCGCTATACAATACTTATTTCCACATACTACCATTTGGGACACTAATTCTAATCTCGGATACTATTTAGGACGGATAGTAGGCGAATTAGGACGCAGTTTCTATTCGTTTCTATTAATAGGTATTTTCTTACCTTTGTAGTTGTTTATGTATGACACCTTTCTCCAACTTTTTAAAAGATCTTACCAAGTTTTCTTATATATATATATATATACATAATGAACATCTCTGGTGTTTATTTTTGGTGGCTCATGCAGACACCGGGTATAAACTAGCGCTGTTGACATTATAGAATGGCAGAAGTGCTGTTTTGTTTAGAATTATTATTTATTTCTAATTTTATTTTTATATTTATATAGCATTTGTTTTGAAAGGGTTTGTGGAAGGAGCCTGTGAACGCAGCATCACTGCACCAGGAATGTCCCCGCGTGACGTCATGACGGCACACAACCCCTAACTTCTCACAGGAATAATACAAATACAGCTTCAACAAATAAAACTGCACCATAATCACTAAACACATCGCAGATATTAGAGGATAAACATACTGAATGTGTTGAAGAGTGGACCTTGCCTTTAAATGTGTGGTGCTGTGGAGCACTCACCCCGCGCTGACGAGCCGCCATTTCTCGGCTTATTCAGCAGTTTAGCGAGCAGCAGCTCCTGTTTCAGCCTTAAAACCTCTTCTTTAAGCCCTTCTGCTTTACTTTTCCAGTTTTCCTCCTGTTGTCTGAGTTTAGCGGCTAAATCTTCCGCGTGTTTCCGAGCGCTCTTCCCCGCAGGCTTGCTCCTTATAACGGCCAGCGCTACGCCAAGTTTAGCGCTTGTGCTGTACCATGCTAAAAACAAACATTTCTCCAAATAAATCACCATTCAGCAGAGTTTACGAGCTGTATACACATCTACATCTTTTAAATATAACCAAACAATGACTATTTTCCACCAATGTTCTGTCAAAGTGCATTTATTTCTTTAGTAATGTGAATTCTGGGCAAAAGTTTGGCTCTAGTCAGGTTAGCTAGCACACGCTGTATACCTTCATGCCATTTTGTAGCGCCATAATTCGCCATTTTGTGATCTTCAGCTTAATAACCAGCCTATTAGAGTATTAATATACAAGAATATTATTAATAAATCGTCCCCTCACGCTGTGTAATATTCATATTACACATTTACACGTCAGGAAGCCAACGTGAAGGCGCGTGAAGACTCGTCACGTGAGCGCCTCGCGCGCCAAATGAGTCCCCTCCTTATGCTCTCCTGTTTGGTGTAGTGGTTAACACGTTTGCCTCCTATGTCTAAGGTTGTGGGTTCGAGTCCTGCTTCTGTCTTGTGTGCTGGAGTTTGCATGTTCTCCCTGTGTTTTGGGGGTTTCCTCCGAAAGACATGCATTGGAGGCTTGTTTTCCATGTTGTCTGTAGTGTGAGAATGGGTGTGTGTGATGGGTTGGTGCCCAGAGTGTTCCCCACCTTGTGCCCCAAGTCCCCTGGGACAGGCTCCAGGTTCCACAAAACCCTGTGTAGGATAAGCAATACAGTAAAATAAAACGCTTTTACACTATGAATGTATTATGTTGCATCAGTGAATTATACCATATAGCCCTATGTATTTACAGTACGTTAAGGACTTTGTTGAAAGAAGACAATTTCAATACTGGGCTTTTTGTGTGTTGGGGTTTTTTTTTTTTTTTTTTTGCATTGTAGTCTACATATTAAAAGACATTTAGTGATGTATAGAATTGGGGATGGGCTCATTTTGAGTTTTGGTATTAATCTGGCTTGTGGGCTGGCACATAACCCTCACAACCCTGGATGTAGAAATGTCTTTTTGCAGCACTTAAAGTGCATTTAAATTGTATTTAAATCTGACAAAGAAAGTTTACTTTCATTCATCGTCAGGAACCTCTTTATCCTGGGCAATGTTGCAGTAGGAATACACCTAGGAAGGGATGCCAGTCTATTGCAGGACACCTAGGTGGCCAGTTCACCTACCTGCATGTATTTGATTAAACCAGGGACCCTGGAGCTGTGAGGTGGCAACACCACATGCTGCGCCACCATGCCACCCAAGTTTACTTTTTGCATTCATTATTGTATTTAAGCCTACGCTATCAACTAAGCTGTCTATTATTTTTGTCGTCCAACTCAGTTAAATCTTGCCTGATTGCCTTGCTAATCTGACAGGCTCATGCCGATTTCTCCTTTATAACATCAGAAGGATTCGTCCATTTCTTTCCAGACAGGCCACACAGGTGCTTGTTCAGTCCCTTGTCTTTTTGTGACCGAACTACTGCAACTCACTCCTGGCAGGTCTGCCTCTGAGCACCATTCGTCCTCTGCAACTGATCCAAAATGCAGCTGCATGACTGGTTTTCAACCTTCCTAAATTCTCCCACACCACCCCATTGCTACGCTCTCTCCACTGGCTTACTGTAGCTGCCCACATCAGATTTAAAACACTGATGCTTGCCTACAAAGCCAAAAATGGACCAGCACCCACTTATCTCAAAGCACTTATCACATCCCGCACTGCACTGTGCTCCCTCCGATCCTCTAGCACTGCTCAACTGGTCCCACCATCTCTCAGGGTACAAGGAAGGCATGCATCGAGACTCTTCTCTGTTCTGGCAGAGGTGGTGGAATGAACTTCCCCTAGATGTCTGAACAGCTGAGTCACTGGCAGTCTTCAAACGACGTCTAAAGACTTACTTCTTCCTAAAGTTCTTTAAAAAAAAAAAGAAACTTTGTATTGTCTGAGCGCTTGTTACTATATTACCTCCCCAACAGAGTTTTTGGGCTGAGCGTATTCTTAGTTTGTGACCTAGCGAACCAGTATCAGAATGTATTTATTGATAAAGACTTTAAAGCACTTTTGTTAGTCGCTCTGGATAAGGGCGTCTGTCAAATGCATTGAGGATAGAAAAAAATAATTTCACAAAGTAGAAAGAAAAATGAAACTTTTTTAAATAGAACAAAAAGGACAAACCTGACTCATACTAAGCCCCTAATGACCAGTGAAAAAGGTTACAGAAGAAAGAAAATTAAGTGAATCTGTGATCACAGAAGTAACAGAAGCAGAAAGTATTCAGAAAGTCACTGTTAAAGCTCCATGCAAATTATATTTAAAATTAGAAAAAAAAACGGGCTTGTAGCATCCTCCCACATTGCTTTACGATAAATGGTACTGCTGTGGTTTGGCCATTTAAAGTAACAAAGATCAAGTTTCACAGCAAAGCAGAATGTAACCGGATCATTAATCCACCAAGATGTCCAAGATAGGTCCGCAATGTGTGGTTACTCATTTGCTGTTGTCACTTTTTGGCAATCTAAAAGCATGACTTCATGGCTCTGTTAGGAGCAGAACTTTCTCGTAAGGCATTGTGATCTAGTGTAGTGTCTTTCTCGTAACTAGGAAACATGGCGGATGAGGCTGTAGGCATTTATTATTTCAAAAAACATAACATTTTCCTTCAGGGACTGTTATTATCCAGTGTCTTACATAATCAACCCTGTTTATGTTTTTCAACTGGTATGACAGTGTGGGTTGTAATTTTTCTGTCATTTGCTTATTTGTGTTGTTTGTGTCAATGAATAATGTAAAGTTACAAATCCTGGGAACTATTTATGTAAAAAAATATCATAAAAAATGTAACATTTGAATTGAGCTTCAAGTTATATTTATTAGATAAGTATAATCAATGCTGATATATTAGATAAGTATAAGTATAATCAATGCTGATATACTCAAATAGCTAGTAGGGGTGTAAACTTCAGGCTTCCAGATGATATGATACGATTTCACAACAATTTGATATTTGATGATAGCACTGAATTTGCTAAAATCTGCATGATTTGATTTAGTAGCCTCCAATCTTGATCAATATGTGAGCAATACATAAGCAATATGTGATCAACTTTGTTCAGAATCTGGGTTAGCCCTTACCGTTAAATTCGCAAATGATAATGGTGTAAAGAAGGATTATTTTCAGTACCAGAGTTAACAGGAGTCAACATCGATATTTGATTACGTCCTCGATATATCGATGCGTCTATCCAAATCGTTAGCTCGTTACACCCTTTCTAGCTAAATTTCAAGGAAACTGTTTCAGATTGTTTCAAGGAAATTGTTTCAACCACATTGTTTCATTATTCTTGCTGCGGTCATGTGTATTATGATTGAAAGTGCAGTTTGTGGCTACTCATGCGGTGTTCATGAGAAACACTTCGGAGAAGTGCGAGGAAGTTAATGAAGATGTATTAAAAAGAGTCATGAAATAGCGCCTGTGTCTCTCAGTATGGTAAAGATTGCTATCATCAGCTGCAGTCACTTCCCTATCCAAGGTCATAGAGAATGTAATGATTAAATATCAGTGATGAATGATTCTTGAAAAATGGTCTTGCTTCACCGCAGTTCCATATTAATGTAAGGATTAATGAGATGTCTTTCACGCCTTTGATTGCTAAACTTATATCAGGTGACTTTAAGGCATTACTATAAAAATGTGAATGATAGTAGTTTACATATTTGAAGAAGGCGCAAATAGGAGAGCCCAAAGCCCAAAGCAGGATATATTATGTTATGTTGATTAATTTTAAACTATTAAATGTGCAGGCTTTTACCTGTGAGATGCAGTTTCTCTCTTACAGATCCCATGTATTTGTATTTTTTTATACATATATAATTCTAAGATTCAGCATATCAGCATATCCCATAGTTTAATACAGGATATAGGAGGATAAACTAAATACATTACATGATATATTTTTCATTTGCCATCTTTATTTTACTGCATATAGCAGGTAGTATACAAACCTTTAAAAAAAAAAAAAAAAAAGGTCACATATTGACCCAAGCAAGAGGCAGGTGGTCTGACATATCAATAGAAACTGAAAGGCCTTAAAGGAAAAATCATTACTGAACAACTTGCATATTAATCTTCATAAATAACATGCGATCTTTAATGACTTCCAAGATTTATTTGTAATGAAATTCTGCTTTGACTTTTTAAATTTAAACTCCTATATATTGGTCTATTTACTCTTTTACTGTTTCCAACTTTACCCACATTTGGCTGCCCGCTCATGGTGGTGCCAAGGTATTAGCTCTCCCTGTCCCTCTATTTAACTAAAGAGGGTGATGCAGCGGCGCTTTAGTCACTTAATCCGCCCTCCTCATCTGTACACTCTGCTCAAACAGGGTTGAGTTTCCCGAAAGATCTTCTTAACTAGGAGAGATAGTGTTCAATGTGATGCCCGCTCTACCATTGAACACTTTTGGGAAACTCCACTCAGACCATGTTTAAAGGGAATATTATTGTTCTTGAAACCTTACTGTTGTCCTTTATGTTTGAGTTTGTTGGGTTTTTTTTTTCTCCTATTAAATGTTATTACTGTAACTGGGCCAGCATAGCACACAACTTTACTAACTTCTCAAAGGAAAGAACAAAAATACAGCAGCGACTAACAAATTAGCACCAGAGTCATATATTTCAATATAAACATATTTAATGTGTTTCAGGGTGGAGTTTAACAATGAACAACTTTAACAATGCCTAACAATTGCATGTACACCTGGGTATACCTCCACAACTTCCTTGAAAATTGTGACTTTTGTATAGCACTTTTTGTGACAAAGCAGCTCCGTATCTAAATCCATGATGAGCAAGCTGACAAGTGAAGCAAAACTCCTTAAGAACATTAGAAAGCAAGACTCAAGAAGAGAAAACTCATTCCTTTCTGCTCCAGATTGGACATTGGAAGTACAGCAGAGTACAGGAACATGATGTGAAATGAACGTTTCAATCTATCACTCTTAAATGTTAGAAAGTAGAAATCAGTTAGAACCTTAGAACAACCCATTGAGGCCTTGAGGAACCCTTTTTCTCCTAAACGCACTGATTAACAGCAGGTACAGGAAGTGTGAGCAGGCTATTCCCAGAAATATGCGTTGCAGGTTCTTGCAGCTTGTTGCAGGTTGTTTCCCCTTGGTGAGATTTGAAGTGATTAGAGTGATTACTACCTGTCACCTGTCTTCAATTCATTCATATTTAAATATTCAGTATCTGTCAAAACACCCATTATGTCTATGTTAGGCATCTGAATTACAATTATATACATGCGACATCAGTTGTCAATTTGTGTTAATTACAGTACATCAATGATTTCTTTTTGTTCTTGATACACAGTGTGGCCAAAAGTATGTGGACACCTCACGATCACACTATGCGCTTACTGAACATCCCTTTCCAGATTTATTCCCTCTTTGCTGTTATAATAAGCTCCACTCTTCTGGGAAGGCTTTCCACTAGATTTTGGAGCATGGCTATGTGGAT